GAAAATCAAAACAGGCTAAATTAATTAAATTATAAAAACAGATAAAGCAATGATACAAAAATACTTTGTGCCTTAACAATAAGGCAAACAAATAGAAATAATTTATCTCACTGGTCATATCTCACATGCTCTTTGTCTTATATTAGCCCTTTCAGAGTGAGTGCATAGATGACCAACCCTGAGGATGACCCACAGGGAGCAATGCAGGATGCTTTAGTGAGAAAAGAGAACAACTGCCATCACTACATTGTAAAATATATGAAATGATGACAAAATAAAGGCTGTACTATTATTGAATTAGTGCATTCTTTGGTTTCTTACCTCTCAGATCCAGAACTGTGGAGCTTTCCATCATGGTCACTGTGTTTTTGGCAGTGCAGGTGTAATTTCCAGTGTTTTCTGCCCCTAACCTCTCTATGATATACAACGAGTTATAAACATGCGTCTCTTTGCCATTAAACATCCAGCTGAAGTGTGCTGGTGGGACCGAGTCTGCGGTGCACTGCAGCGTTATACTGTGACCTTGAGGAGCAGCTGAGGGTCTGCTGATCAACACGTTGTATGGTCCAACTGCACAATTAAAATACAGTGTTAGGGACATTCAGACTATTACTGCTAATATAGCTGTCTTTAAAAAAAAGTTAAAGTCAATTAATTTTAACTTGATTTATTCATGTTTTCTTTAATAGAAACACTGTGAATGCACGGTGAATACTCACAGCTGACAGTGAGATTATGGGTCGCAGTCATGGTGCTGACCGGGTTGCTGACTCTACACTGATAGGTGCCGCGGTCAGAAATGTGAACAGGCTGTATGGACGCTGTCTTGTTGTCCAAGGAAAAGCTGACACCGCCACTGGGATTAAGAAGCTGGCCATCTTTTATCCACTCTCTGGAGCTGATGGAGCCAGAGGCCTCACAGGTGAGGTTGGTGGAGCTTTCATCTTCTTATCAGGATGGCTGTGGGGCTGCGGATGGTGGCTCCAGACGATAAAAAGTGTCAACTTTGGGTGAAATGATGGAAAAAGAAGCAACACAGTTTGTGTGAAACATATATGTGTCACTTTAAGTAACATTTTGTGTGACAGTAACTTTAAAATGACATAAATCTATCAAACAGCTTCACCTTCATGATTTCATTGGGTCATAATTCATTAATTATGTTCCAATTTCAGATAGATTTTTAACTGTCTAACATTTAAAGTGGTAGATATTTATATTTCTGTTTGAATTTCTATTATTTTTTATTATTAAAGTGTACAAGTATGAATATCGTGGTGGTAGAGTGTAATTGAACTGCATCCTGTAAATCCAGTGCAATCTAACAACAACCCAAACTTTAATTTATATGTTAGTCCTTTGGGACCCTGTTTCACTCACTTTCCCTCTCAGTATAAGCACACACTCTGTTTTCCTTGTCATGTTTGTTTTATGAATGTGTTATCAAAAGGAAATTCAAAAGGAGTTTTGCATATTTGACTATCATTAGGCATCTACTCATATAGGGCACACAAGGTTTGGTGCCCTATATAAATGTATAAAGACTAACCCACCATACACAGTCAGAGTGCTCCTCCCCTGTTTTGGCAGCCCTGCATCTGGTGTGATGGTGAAGGTGTACTCCCCGCTGTCCTCCAGTGCCAGGTTTCTGAGCTCCAGGGACCCTGTGGCTCGGTCTAATGAGATCCTGCCGGCATATCCAGGATCAGGGATGTTGATGCTGGTGGAACTGATGATGTTCACCCCATTGAACCTCCAGCTTACTGAGAGGAATGGTTTCTCTGGAGGTCTGAGAGTGGTGGTGAACTTCACTGTGCCTGCTACAGCTCCACTCAGGGGTCCAGTGGGTAATATACCCTCACCTACACACATACCTGATTAACAACAACAACAAAAAAATACAGAAGACTGAAAAAAAAAATCCCCATTTCTTTATTTCTGTCTGCACATCATGTGAATTTAGCCTACCTGATAAAAGAAGCATAACTGCAGTCCATGGGATGGTCTTGTCCAATACTGACTTTTCTGACATTGTCTCTCTGCCTTCTGAAATCAAAACAGAAAGAGTCTCAGGAGCTCTTGCTCTTTTATTGACCCACATCACAGGACCCTCTACAGCCCCCCACTCAGTAAGGAAAACCACTAAGATCCTTTGTGACACTGTTGTGTTGTGTGTACATACATACAGAAATGGAATTTGGAAAAAAAACAGGATTTAATCTGAACAGGAAAAAAAACAAAACACGATCAAGCTTCTGACAGACCATATAAAATGCACCTTATTCAAGTATAGATGGATAAACTAATTTTGCACAAGTTTTCTCCAAATGTTTTAGCCTTAGACAAAAAAAAAATGGTAGGGGGCATATCCTGCCGGCATGTTCAGGATCAGCTTCTGTACTAAAATAAAACAACTTTAAAACGTAATGACTGCATTCCCTTCCTAGTTCTTTTATTTCTTCTAAAGTATTTGTGAATTATTTTTTAAACATATATAAACATCTGAAGAAGGTTTATGAGTCATGATGCTGGTGGTGCCTTTTATGTTAACGGAGAGTTTTATGTGCTCCCCGCTAAGTGGGTTTGGGTCTCTTTTTGGTGCAACTGCAGTGATCCATAGCTTTCCTTGCAGAGGAGGATCAAAGAGGAGACACTCAGACTCCTTCAGACAGCCTTACAAACAAATCATTTCCTTTAGTGCTTCCAGAATGAATGATTTATTAAAAGAAATAAAGATCTTATGTAATGTGTAAATATGTTCCTTTGTAATCATTCATGCACAATGAAGTATTGTTCGACTTGTATGACTGCCCTAATGCTGTGAGGCACCCATCAGATCAGCAGAAGAGATAAATTATTGACAGTGTGTCACAGTATAGTTCCTGAAAACAGAATTATAATGTGTTTTTGTGAGTGGGCATTGCATTGTAAATATGATATTATACGGTAAACTGGGTGTGTTAGGGATTTAAATAACTGTAGCAACATTTCTATTGTGACCTGCAGTAAAACCTATATTTTGTTACACAGGTAAATTCCTTTTCTTATAGATGCACTGGTGTCATAATGTATTAGAGCACAATTCTTTTTACATTTTGTCAAAAAAACATTTAAAATTACAAAAATTAGTCAATCAAAATAACAGAAGAGAAATGATTTGTCCCACATTTTGTTAGTTTAAATCGCTGTAAATCTGTTATTTTGTTCATATAATTTTATAATAATATATTTGCTCACATAATTTCAAATATAAGAATAATTGTATTCCATTTTAGGCATTTTTCATATATCGAGTAATTTTCTTATGTTTTTTATGATTCCTGCATATTTTGTGTGGCTTGATATGCCACAATAATATCTATCAGACAAAACCTACAGCTTAACAAATCAAGCAAACCTTATGATATAGTAACAGTGAATGAATCTTAAGTCTGTTCTATAAAACAAATGCAAATTTGAGACTTTTACCTAAAATGACGCTCTGTGATGTATTTATCCAATTATTTTACTCTTCAGAGAAATGCTTCTGTACACTGTATGATAAATTAAATTCAGGTGACTCGATGTATTTGAATATAACATATTTAGTTGTTTGGATCGCTTTGAGTTCTAAATGAAACCTCACCTCTACAACACATGTGCAATTTTTAAGAAGAGGGAAAATAAATAACTCTAATAATAGATATATAAATACCTTCAAAATATGGTGAAAATGTTAAACTACAGAAATGTTTTCATTATGAAATTTGTTAAAGAACAATTATAATATAAGAAAACTGAGATTAGTGACTGTATCAACAACAATGACAACAATAAAAACATTTGCTAAATAATAAGTATTTAGAAGAAAATCTGGATTGAGAGCTTGAAATATTTGCCATCAAAGCACTTCTATCACAAGCTGATGCTGATTCAATGAGAATAACATTAATGTAACATATATTAATATGCCACAACTCTCAGATAAATCAGACTAATCCATTTTCATAATGTTGGTTTGCCATGTTTAAACTGTGAAGGTTCCCTTCAGTGAGTTACCCTCTTATTATCAAAGATCATTTTCTGTTGTTTCATGTGCATTATCAATATATTTGCAAAGTCTAGTAAACAGGATGGTGATTTTCCATCTGGATCTACAAAAAGTACTGGGAACCAGCAATCCTTTCAGCAGCAGGAGGGAGAGAGCTACAGACTGCAAAAAATAACTGTCACTACATTTGCATTGTTTTTCTCCAACACAGTTAGCATTAATTTAGTCAGTATATGCAAGAAACAATGGCAATTTATTTTAAGAATCAACAGGGCAAACAGTTTGGGGACTTCCTGCATAGTCTGGAATTTCTTTGACACTTATAAGATAATTATATAAAGATAAAAGCTAGAATCACTTAATACTTTCAAATTACATCAACTGACTAAAGCTCATTAAATAAAAAGTGAATTTAAGATATGGCACATGAAAAGAGTAAAAGAGATAAGCAGTTTAAGAATATTGTTTTTGCTGTATGAGCTTTAAAGATAAGATTAGCTGAGTAACATTCAAAGAAATGCAGAACAACTTGACCTTATGTATGTGGTCATCACCATCTGATGAAGAAGTGACCAATATTGTGAGCATTAATTTGGCTGGAAAGCATTACAATCAGCTTATCACCTTTATCGTTACAGTATCTAACATCAACACTCACAGCTTGTAAAATTAGAAAAGGTGATGCTTAAAGAGCTTTGAGGGGAAACAAAAACTCCACAAAGGAGGTCACAAATTGTTTTCTTTGTGTACAATCAACCCCCTCTGTGACTGCATTCACAGAGTCACTCAATTTCCTTTCAAACCAATAGTCAGCCATAAAATGCCGGCTCACTGGGAGGAAATTTTGTCAACAGTGCCTCATCAGTCCTGCAATCAGCCCACTCCACCTCCTCCAGTGTGATCACTGTCAGTGTGACCAGTATCAGTGTGAGTGTGAATGCAAAGCGAAGCCAACACTTCCTCAAGTCGTTTGATCATTGTAGTGTTTCTGAGTCTATAAGATTAATCCATTTAGATTAAACATTTTGACAGCTATGGGATGAATTTCATCTGTGTGGAGTTTGTGCACTGATGTTTGGTCCCCCCTATGCCTGTGTGGATTCTTTCTGGCTTCCTCCCACAATCCAGACACATGCATGTTAAGATTAAATGGTGATTTTTAATGGCGATTCACAGCCATAGCTGTAAATGTGAATGGTTGTCTGTCTCTGTATCTTGTAAGCTGTGACAAATTAGTGACATTTCCAGGGTGTACCTCCCCTCTTGCCTCATGATAGCTGGGATATTCTACAGGCAACTGACCCTCAACTGGATACGCAGAAGAAAACTGATAGATGGATGGATCCAACTGCAGGGAAATGTGGTACACAAATTGCTGGTTTGCATCTGCAGATTACAAATATTCTCCCAATAAGCTAAGGCTGCATTAACATGGTCTTTTGTTTTGTTGGCTTTTTGCCTGTTGGATAGTGATGTTAAAGATGGATAGAAAAGTAGGGAGAGAGAAAGATGGGAAAGACACACAGCAAAGGGATGTGGATTGAGCTTGAACCCAGGACACTGCTCTTCAGCCTCCAGCAGCATGCGGCCTCATGTGGCACCACTGACCTGAAATGGTGCTCAATTTGGTGGCCTTAATACAGGCTGGAAAAAACTTCATACTTGTATTGCTTTTTTTTGTTTTTTGTTTTTGCCTATTTTCACAAGTGAAGTTAGGTGTATTTATCCCTCTGTAGTAAGCTGTGACAGAAGCAAT